CCTACACCACCATGTAACAGTTCCCTTCGCTCCATCTACTGTTTCCAAAAGAGTCCATGTTACAAACTGCCTTATGATGTTCTTATTGCCGAATCAATATAAGCTCTATGTGCACAGCATGGGAATCTGAGAGGGAGAGGGATTATTATTTGTCGCCACAGCAGTGACCGTCAGGTGGTATGGATGATGCCGGTGAGATTGTGGTGTGTGTGTGTGTGTGTGTGTGTGTGTGTGTGTGTGTGTGTGTGTGTGTGTGTGTGTGTGTGTGTGTGTGTAGTTACGTTAGTTACGTAGTAGTAGTGTAGTAGTAGTAGTTAGTAGTAGTAGAGAGAGAGAGAGTAGTGTGTGTGTGTGTAGTAGAGTAGAGACAGGTAGTGTGTGTGTGTGTGTGTGTGTGTGTGTGTGTGTGTGTGTGTGTGTGTGTGTGTGTGTGTGTGTGTGTGTGTGTGTGTGTGTGTGTGTGTGTGTGTGTGTGTGTGTGAAGAGAGAGTGTGTGTGTGTGTGTGTGTGTGTGTGTGTGTGTGTGTGTGTGTGTGTGTGTGTGGTCTGCCAGTGTTACTTAAGCTCTACACCACTCTCTCTGTGTCAGCTTGATTTAAATCAATCCTATAATAAGGATTGGATTTAAGTAACTAGTTCAACAAAGATCTTGTCATTCGTTAACAAACATGATTTGGGATTTCACTTAGCAACACTAAAAGCAGAGTTTACTCCCCTTTTCTGACACATTCCTGTACAAAGTTTACATGAACAGATGTGTGTAATATTTAGAATTAACGACTCAGATTAGGCATTTGCAAGTCAGTCAACAGAAATGAGTCCATCTGACATGATGAAGCATCTTCTGTAGCTTGAGCCTAGCCCTTTTGCAGCCTAGTCATGGTACAGCCCCTGCCAGCATGTAAAACAGATAACTACCCTTTATGATAAAGCCTGAAGATAAATGTGTTTCTTTCTTTAACCCTACAGTATGTGTTTTCTTTCTTAATGAATTAACTAGTATCCGAACACTAGTTCATTAAAAAAGAAAAGCACTGCTCAGCCGTAGGAGCACCTTTTTTGTGTCAAGCAAAGATTTGCTTAGCATAATCCTAATTTATATTCAGACAGTCAAACTAATTCACAAAGGACACCTACACAGTGCAGCCACATTTTCAGAGTCAGAGCATTTGAACCAATGACCTATTGGTCCCAACGCAGTGTCTCTATCTTTCAGGCTGTTGCAAACCCAACATTGACAGTTTCCTATTATCCTAGTCAGCTGCAGTAAATCTTAACATGGTTTATTTCAATTCACCCTTACTGTACATCAGTTAGAGTAATTATTGAAAAAGTTTCCATTATAATATAGTCCCTTGTTACAAACAGGAGCAGGCACATTTGGCCATTGAGTTGTTAACTTTAGTATGCAGATTATACTATGACTTGTTTCAACGTCAAATCTTTTCATTTGTTATACAGTTATTGTATTATTTTGGCTCCAAAAATCACTGAAATAAAAGGAAACATGCAGAGTGCTAATAAAGTGATGCAGAGTAGTATGTGGGTGGGCAGGTAAAAAGATTAAATGATACATGTGAAAAATAATTAAAACAGTATTCTAAAAATATTAAAAGTGCTATGTAGCCAGTTGCTTAATTTAACTGGATTTATCCATTGAACATTCTCTTCGAAATTGCTTTGATTATATAATAATCACATTTCTGCTTTTATGATTCATAACTGATCCAACGTTAAAGGCCTTCATGCCTTCCCCCTGCGTCACAGTGATAAGCAGTGACAATATAGTTACCTTCACCGAAAAGAAATTTAACACATGCTGCCTCCTGAAGCTTTCCTCCATTCAGTCCACACACAGTCAACCGTCTAACATGCTACATTAAATTATTCAACAAAATATATTTTTCTAGTAGCTTCACGTAACACATTGAACAGATTTATACCAAATTGCCACTGGCTACTTCCTTAACAACATGTCTTGTTGCCAATCTTTATGGTGGATCATGATAAGCTGCATGCATTACAAGACTCTGATGCTTCATAGTTTTTCTACTGTGTTTAAAATCAATTCTTTCAATCAGTCAAATCAACCTAGGAAAGTTTGTTGGAGTTTGTCCATGTCTATAAGTCCATTACCATCCCAGCCAGCCAGCCAATTAGACAAGTAAACACATGTAAATATATTCAGTGATTCTCTTATACCTCAACAAACTTAAACACACATGAAGGCACACAAGCACTTTAGACTCAAATTGTACAATGACACCCAAGGCGCGCAGGCACACACACGTCCAATTAGAAAGTGGAGTATGTGGAATACCAAATGGGAAAACGCAGACACAAGCCAACTTGTCCAGACAGGCGGTCTAATGGTGTAGATGAAGTCAGATGAAAGAGTCTATATGTATCAGTTAGTCTGTCTGTGTCTGCTGCATTGATCACACAGCGGGCCGCTCAATACTCTCTCTCTGCCCGTCTGTCTCCTGCTGCCTCCTCTTCGTCTTTTTCTCTCAGTTCAGCTCGCTCAATCACAGATCAATTGACAGCCATCACGAGAATGGAAAAGAAGTCCTGTTTTCTTGTCCATGTATGAATGTGTGTGTGTCCTTTTTTATGTGTCTGCAGCACCATCCATTTGAGAATAAAAGGAAAGTTATCTGAATGCTAATTCTGTAAAATGTTAGTTTTGTAAATAATTGGCTTCTGCTGACTGACATAAGTGAGTGATTGAGTTTTATATATATATATGTATATATATATTTTGTTGTCGTTATTTTCTTACTTCAGCAGAATGTGACAGAGACATGATATATTAAATAGACATATTGAAATACAGACATTTAACATTGAATGTCTTTTAGTGAAATGCCTTTACAACGTGGTGATTCCAAGGTTTTAGCTTTTCAATATATTTTATTTTTCTTAATACTTTGTATTTTTTTATTTACATTTGTATATTATTGTTTTTAATAGCTACCTCCTTCTTTTGCAGTTCAACAGATGAGCAGTTTCGCTGGAACGCTCAAGGTAAAGTTCACTTTGAATGCTTTTTCACACACACACACACACACACACACACACACACACACACACACACACACACACACACACACACACACACACACACACACACACACACACACACACACACATTTAAGGAATAGATTTATAGTCCCGACAGCAACAAGGCCTGTTCCGCCTCGTGTCTGATTGACACACTTGGAAAATTGTGTGTCAAGGCACATATGGAAGGGCCCTGCAATATATGGGCAGAAGCACCCACCAGCATACCTGATGGATTAAGAAATGATTGCACACTCACACAGTAGCACAATCTCACTCTGAAATACATATCAGAATGTCAAAGTGCGGCCAGAAAAAGGCGTCTGTTTGCTTTGACACTCAGTGTGAATCTGCAGGTCCACAATCACACACTCTTTGATAGAGATACACCTAATGATTGGTCCTCCAGTGTCATATTATCTAACACTCAACATCCTTATCCTCTTCACAGCAGATGGACACAAGGATATCGAGGACGAGTTGACCACTGGGTTGGAGCTGGTAGATTCCTGCATTCGCTCGCTCCAGGAATCAGGGATACTTGACAGTGGAGAACGTAAGTGTAATATCCCGCGTCCTTGTGTGTTTGTATGTGTATGTTTTGGGAGGGCAAGGAGGATGCAAACCTTATAAAATAGTGTCTTATTTAGGTATGTGTTAATAATCAACGTTGTGCTATTGAGATGATTCAGACCATACCTAAATAAGACACTATTTTATAAGGTTTGCATCCTCCTTGCCCTCCCAAAACATACNGTTATGGGTAAAACTTTGTCCTTGACATTTGTCTAAAACATGAAAAAGAAATACCTATAAAATGTTTAGTGAGGGGAAATTTGAAATAAGAAAAAAATGAACAGTATATCATAAAGTAAATAAGGGAAAAATATTGATATTACTAGTATATTTGCAACACGGAGCCTTTATTAACGAATGTAATTAGCACCTGGTTTTGCAAACTCTGGGCCCAGTGATCGAGCGACTTCGGATCTTCGAATGTTGATGCTAGAGGAATGGCCACGAGAGCGAGAGAGAGAGGAGAGGATAGAGAACGCGTGGTTTTCCGAGCAGGAGTGTGTGTGTCTCGGCTCGAACTTACTTGTGTCTCCTGCGTGCGGAATTTGACGCGACATCCACTTTTACGCCGTAATATGGGGTTACTAATTTTATTTCCCGATATAAATCGACTAAATTGTCTGTAGAGAAAGAGTTACATTAAAGTTATCCCTTTTTCATAAAAACCGGTTAACTGCAGTGTCGATCTCGCATTCACATCACCGGCCGTGAGAAAGGTAACCCTGAGGAAACCAAATGAATGTCTTGTATCACTGTAGTGATACATTGTGACCGCGAAGAAAAACCGATCGCGAGTTGTGTCACCATGCACTATTCGATTCCGCGCCCGGTAAGAGAGTCCGTCAACTGTAGTGTTGTCATGGCCGGTCGATGGTTAGTCCTCGTCTGACCCGAGACCAAAGTCTGTCTCCCCACTTGTTCTCGCCACGACGTCGTGTACCGTCATACTCTTTTTATTTCTCGAAAAACTTGTAATTTCGTTCCTCTGCACAGTGTCCATCTCCTGTTGTCACTGATATACCTGGACTTTAATCTTCATACAAGCCGAGAAACTTTGATTGAACACGGAAAGAGAAACGACGACCGATGAAAATAGATAAACTCCCTTCGCGTGTAATGGACTTTTATATAAGACTAAGAATTCCGACTATAAAACTGACCAGAAATTGACTTACTTTGGACCACACACACACGAGACACAACACGAGACGTCCCGATAGTCCCGACAGACTATTCACATGACGTCGCTACACCCTCTCCTTTCCGGGCCACGGACGCGTGAGACTAAGCTCTCTGTATGAAATGTCCCAGAGTAAATTGGTTGTCCTCTGTAGTGATTACATTTGAACCTTTAGTTATTCTTAAATGCACACGACCTGCACCATCTTCAACGACTGCCCGTCAACAACTCCGCTACACCACACGGGAGAAAGGACAGTCTGTCTGAGGCGCCCTGGTGGCCCAGTTAAAAAACAAAAATAAAGCCGATCCATAAAGAAAGCTCGCGAACTCACGCTATAAGAACGCTGAATGAGTGTACTGCTGGGAAAAATAATTATACGCCACCCTACTGTTCGTCTTCGTAAGTGAGAGTGACAGCGCAAGATCCTACTGAAATGCTGCCTGTCGTGTACTCGCCGTGCTCAATCTTCGAATTCCTCTCACTTCCATTGTAGTTCACCTTGATGTCCAGGAGTAAAGTGTCGTAAGGACTGCCTCTTGTCGCTTCATCCACTCTCGGATTAGAGAAAAGAAGCCTGCGCTCCAGCATTGTGGTGCTGGATGGTCCTCACAGTACCTACATCGACAGTCGCCGCTGTGACGCGCCCGACGACGGAGGACCACAGAACGTAATGCCTCTCTCGTCCTGTCCTTCCCCCACCTCCTAGTCTACCCCAGCCCCCACAAGGTAGCTTTTCAAAAGGTAAAAACAGAACATGTGCTTCTTTTTATTCCCCCTCACCACGGCTTCCCCCCTTGTGATGTGTGGACCGCAATCGTGCTGGAGTCGTCCTCCCTCCGAGCCCACATTTATGTGTGTGTGGTGTGTGCCATGCCACCCCCCAGCCAGCGGCCACCAGGGTCAGTGTAATGTGTCTATGTCAGAGTGTGTTCGTGACATGTGCCGTGTTCTCCAGTGGATTTATGTCCTGGTTGCTATCCTTAACATTGTTAGATCCGCCCCCCCCTCCCCAATGGTATGTCAACTTTCCCCATATTTTAAAGAAATAAATCTGGTTAGTCCATTGTGAGAACGAGTGTGTGCGATGAGTGTGTGTCGTGTGTGTCGTTGTGTGGTGCTGTGGGTGTGCCACTGTATGCAAGCATACGTAAATTTTGAGGTATTCGAATGTTGCGGACACTGTCTTTATATGATAGCTAGATGAATCACAACGATCGATATCGCGCTGCTTTGCCGTTATATACAATTTCTACCATAGATCTCTTCATTTTGCTCTCAAAGTGCACCAGATTGATGCTTTTAACTTCAATATTTAAAAAAAAAATCTTCCCGCGGGAGCTTGGCCCCGGACCCTCCTGTGTTAGCTCCACTCCCCACTTATAAAAATAGCACTTTACCCCTGCTTACACCTATATGCCGTGAGCTTATTATCGAGCCTTCATTGTAACAGTCGCGGGTACACTGTGTATTTGCGTGGGGATTGTTGCAGGAGAACATTCCACTGTAGCGCCCGGTACATTAATGGGGAACCCTAAATGTTTGAGCACCCTCTATATGAAACGTCAAGCTACCCCACTGCACCCCCAAAATGTGCAGTGCAAAACAGGCTCATTGCAGCCACCTGTGATGAGACACACTTTTTTGCCAAATATCAGCATTTTCTTTCTTTTCATGTTTTTGCACAGATTGCAAAGTGGCAAATTATTATAACTTATTGTTCTAGCAAAAGGATTGCACAATTGTATTATGTATTATTATTTTTGAGCACACAGACTTATGGAGCATTGTTTTATTAGCAAAGTGATTTTTTTTTTTTTTTGAAAGGAATGCTCACGTTCATATTGATGTATTTTAATAAATGTTAACTTGGCCCATCACGTGACTATTTGTGTTGGGGGGGGCCCGACTTTTTTTTCTCTCCTCCAAAGGGGGGGCCTGACAGAAAAAGTTTGAGAACCACTGCTATAGTTACTGCTCCAGCTACTAAACTGTAATGGAAACGCAGCATAAAGTGAGCCTGGCCTACCAAGGCCTAACTACATGCACACAAACCTATAGAACAGCAAAGGGAAAACTCCCACAAAGCAGACTCGGGCCTCTGTACTGACTTGAGCTCCTGCAGCTTCTTCTCCTTGATCTCCTCGAGGCGGACGCGTCTCTGCCGGTCTTCCTCCATCAGCCGCTCGCTCTCCTTGAAGAGCTCTCTGCGCTTGGCGACGGCCGACAGCTCTTGCTCCTTCACCTGGGTCCTGATGGCCTCTGAGTGACGGCTTAATTTCTGACGCCGCTTCTCCTCTTCCTCCTTCAGTTTGACGATGGCTTGCTGCTGCACGCTGTGTGGAGAGAGTGGCAGTGATGTGTGATTAAGATGGAGCTGAATGTGTGGATAGATGCAGTGGTGGAATCTAACTGAGTTCTGCACTTAAACGTGAGCTACTTGTATACTCAAGTATTTTCTTTTCCTGCTGCCACTTATTCCACCACAACTCAAAGGGATGACGATGTGAAAAAACGTTGAAGTGCAGTTTCTAACCTCAGCACCCTCTCAAACTCTGCCTTCTCGCGGCCGGCCTCGATGGACAGGAAGTGCTCTTTGCAGCGAACCTGCTCGGTGCGCGCCGCCATCAGCATCTCCTCCTCCTGCGCCCTCTTCACAGCGAGCTCCCTCTGCTTACTCCTCCAGTCTCTGTCTTTAAACTCCTGGTTCCTCCGAGCACGCAGCTCATCCTGTCACACAACACATTATCAACGGTCAGCCCGGGGGAGCAATGGATTACATGTAACCGTAAACTGGATACAGAAACATAAGGTAAATGTATTCCCTTTCAGTTCCATCAAATAATCAGATTACATTTCAAACATTGTCTGTGGGCTGACTAGCTTTCTGAAGGGCAGGTTTTTATATAATATAATATCTGAGCAGAGGACTCCATTGTTATACTAAATAGCTTTTTCTGACCTGCTCTGCTTTGTAGTCTTTTGCCTTTTCCTGCCGGGCCCTCAGCCGGGCAATCTCCAGCTCCTTCTCCTTCTTCAAGCGTTTCTGCTCTGCTTCATACTCTGAAGCCCGCTCCTGCAGAGGTCATGACATATGGATCAAATGTGGAAACACAAAACTATATTTCAAAGATAATAAATCACAGATGTGTTTGAGTTATTCTTTGTTCCACTGTAACAAAGTGATTCTGAGGTTTTTTTCTTGTTTTCTGACCATTTTGTTTTTCAAGTACTCCATGTCCCTCATGTCGGCCTGTCTCTCCTCCTCCAGCCTCCTCTCCTTGGCCTGCATGGTCTCTGCGTTGATGCGCATGATCTCCTCCTGCAGGCACTCCTGCTTCTTCCTCTTCTTCTCCAGAGCCTGGAGGAGGAAGAGGAAAACCAGTCAGAGAGAGGAAACAGGGTTCATCCTAATGTCCCTCCTCGACCCCGCGACGTTGAAGGACGTCCCGATTGCTCAAATGCACCCGGAGGAGAGAGGAGAGCCGTATACTAGGGCTGTGCAATTAATCGTATTTTAATCGCAGTTACGATTTTGGCCTGCCGCAATTACGAACACAACGTAATCGAAAAAAAACGATTATTTTGCTTTTTTGTGACATATTTGATCTAATTTATTTTAGTCTCATTTATTTGTATTCATCATATTTAGTAGCTTGTTGAAGTGCGCTCCAAAGTATGTGTTGATCTTGTTTATTGGTATTTATTATTTTTGATATTATTTATTTAAATGTAAATATAAATGTATCATTTATTTTTGTATTGGTTTTTCAGTTGAATTATACGTTCAGGGTAATCAGCAGTTAAAAACATACTGTTGAAATTATTATTTGTATTTGTTTTAAAGTTCAATAAATGGATGTTTTCAAAGTTAATGAATAATCGTATTTAATAATTGTGATATCAATTATTGACGAAAATAATCGTGATTATGATTTTTGCCATAATTGCACAGCCCTAATTTACAATGTTGCAGAAAGAGTCAGGATAAGGGAGTAAGACAAAGAGACAGAAGAGGTCAAAAGACTTGAAATGAATGGAGAATGACAAATGGATGACATGTTGGATGCTACAACACGCTCCACTGAAATGAGGTGAATATAGAGACAAACAGACGGAGGATAAAGAAGCAGCAAAGAGACAGAGATGGTCAGAATATGAATGAGTGCTAATTAGACTCATGGACACACCCATTAACAGCATGACTCATCCCAGGCCTCTCTCTTCCTTCATCCCTTTCCTCTTTGAAGTCTTGGGGACTCGGTTTGATTTCTTTATTCATTTATTTGTTTGACTCACAAGGGCACACTTGTGAAAGTACTGACCTTCTTCTTTCAAAGGGGGAGAGCGTGTAAAGAGGAAAATAGAGAGATACCCTCCCATGATGCTTCATTCAGCAAATATAAAAAAAAAATAACAAAATGTAAAAACCAACGATGGCTCGATGGCTCTGTTTTATGTGTGTAGAGACAAGAGAGCAAACTAAGCATTACACCTACAGTACAAAGTAAGATATCAAATGATTATTCTTTGATATGAAACCATGTACCGTACCTCCTGCAATTCTACCAGGAAAGTGAGTTATATCAGTTATATTTTCCTCACTCCAGCTGGCAAAATGTAACATGGGACTAGGACCTCCAAGCAGAAAGCAACTAGATGGAAAACATTTTTTATTTTAGGCCATTTCAGTTTTCCACAGCTTAACTTCACTGTAGAGTAGGTGTTATGGAGCAGGTAAGTACCCCTCGAAACGGGCCACTCAAAAAAACTCTACTGTGCTTTTTCCAGGTGGATGTTGTCCACCGAGGGAAGCAAACCTCTGACTGATAGTTTCCACAAATAACTCTCCGCTGGTACAATTTTTGTAGGGTACCAAAAGTCACAATTTTAAGATAAATCTTGCATTTCCAGGATTGACAAGTTGAATTTAAACTGTCCTGATCAACCACAACTCGATTCATTCATATGAATCTTGCCAAAAAGTTCATAAATGAAAAGATTATTTAAAATTTGTTTTAGAAAAAAGGTCAGCCTTTTGCACAGGATGCTGTAACAGAGACACCAATTTGGCAAGCAATATATATGAGTAAATAAAAGTAACAGTCATCTCCGAGACACAGTTATTAATATCTCTTATTCTGCAACAAAATGATAATCTGAATACACACACAGCTCACAAATGAAACCACTGATGAGCTTTTTCATTCATTTTGAAGTTTTTCTTTATAATGGCAACAAAAAACTGTGACATCTCTATTCCGAGTAAATAATTGAAATTGAAATATTGGATGATTCAAAAGACTTAAATGGAGAACTTTTTTTGTTTAAGGGCTTTGAGATGCATTCAAATAAAATCAAATTAAGTTTTATTTATAAAGCACATTTAAAAGCGATTTGTGGTCGAGCCAAAGTGCTGTACAGTACATGTAATAAAAACACATTACTACAATCACAATAAATTACAACAGATATAAAAAACACAGGGAAAAGTCAGGAGTCGTGCTCCGCTCTGACTAGAAGGCCAGGGAGAAGAAGAGTGAGTAGATTAAAAAAGCCCTAGGGTCTGGGCCGACCTCACATGGAGGGGCAGAGTGTTCCAGAGCCTAGGGCCAGCTGCTGCGAAGGGGGCATTGATTCAACAAGCTAAATAAACACAAATACTTAAAAACATATTATCATTTTGAGAGATTTTCTAACATCCCTTTACTGCCCATAGTGCAGTTGGTTTACCAGCATAATCAGGACGACACCCAGTAAGGTTACTAAATTCCCGCGGTGGGTTTAATGTGTACGTGCATGTGAGAGTGCGTGAACGCCCACCTGCCAGACTGCCAGGCCTCTGCAGAGTCGCTGAAGCGTAGAGCTCGTGGTTGATCTTGTACTGGTCAGAAGCGTGGTGAGCTGCCAGGCGTTTGGGAGACAAAGTGGCATAGCTCCCTATGCCTGAACTCATCTGCAGGGACAAGAGTTGTGGTTTTTTCTTTAAAATATTGTAAATGACATCAGTTATACCCTGATGAAATGACCTCTTGTTTAATTACTATATGTTAGCAGTCGAATATGTGACAGCTGACATGGCTGACTTGTTTTGAGCCGTGTACTTTAGATAGAAATACATTGTACCTGTCATTGTGTCTTGGAAATCTATTTACTTTGTCAAATTACTTTTGTGTCTTTATTTTGTAAAACGGGCTTTTAAACAAAAATTGGCACTATGTGTAAACCATGTCGAAATCACTTAGCCTTAAGAATGTAATATACGCTGGAGAAACTCACGCAGAAAAAACTTTTCATTATTGTAGTGTGACATAGTGGGTAAGTAAATCCTAAAAGTGTGCCTCAGAAACCAGGGTTCAGAAAAGGTGCTGTTTGGAAAGATAACCGCATTGAAGAACTAAAATTGACCGGTATAGATTTTTCTGAATGTATAATTCAATCTGTAATTGCTCTGGAGCTACGCCATCCTTTGTCATGATTAAAGATCTTCTAAAGTGGACAAGACTATAATCTTCTCTCTGACACCTAGCCGCCCGGCATCAATCAATATTATGACAACACAATATCATACCTAAATACATTTTACAATTGTCAATTACAGCTCTGTTCCTGAATATCAGTAATGGGCATTTGCACTGTATATACTGTACTTTGAAATATAACAGGTACTGTTGTTGCTGCATGTAACAGTATTCTGTTAAAACTGTACATAGTATCATTATATAATTATTAGGGCCGGGACTTTAACGCGTTAATTAAGATTAATTAATTACACAAAAATTAACGCGTTAAAAAAATTAACGTATTTTAATCGCACTTATTTTTGCACCGCGGAACGTTTCTCACTGGATGAGTTTCAGGGGTACCGATTATACTGGAGCACCAACTAACGTTCATTACTTCAGACAACAACAAACCACAGTGAACAATAGTCAAACGTGAACGAAGAAGCTGATGAGACCGCTTTGGTTGGCCCCGTGGATGGGACATTTTGTTTTAAAAAACGGACGGATGGAAGCGTCAATAAGAGCACGGTTGTTTGCAAATTATGCAAAAAGGAATTCGCATATCACCGCAGCACATCAAGCCTCAAGTATCACCTCAATGCAAAACATATAGCAGCTAGCGTGGAAGCTAGCGTGGATGTTAGCCCGACTCGGAGTACAAGGACCCACACCCAATTCGCGTTGATCAAACAGTGGCCTATGCAACAGAGAGATTTTATTTTTCACCAGGATATTGGAAGAATAGGAGGGATTGAGGTCAATCACTGGCACTTTTTTATTTTATTTTAAATGGTACACTTTATGTTGAACTATTTATTACGTTGTTGGTGCAACTGGCACTTTATGTTGAACTGTTTATTGTTTTGGCCAAGGTTATTGAGAGAGTTGGACTGAAATGTATTAGATTTTTTAAATCAACTGTTGGTAAATCAACAAAGTCTGTTATGGCCTCTGAAGCAACAGAGAGATGTTTTCTAATAGTCAGGGTTTCCAATGTTCTGAATGTACTTGAAAGTATTGTGTTTTACTTAAAAAACAAAGTGTTATAGTTTACAGAAGGTCTACCTACCTATAGGCTATCTGAATCTCTGAAATGTACTATATTCCTAAATATGCTATTGCTACACTTTATGGCAAAAATTGCACTTTTCTGTTGGTCTTGGTTAAGAACCTCATTGAAAAAAATAAACAATGTTTTGTTGCTTAAGCTTATGTATTCAGTCATTATTCAATGGTATACTAAAATCCATGTGAAAAAAATTGCTTCTCACTGTTCTCAGGTCAAATATTTATATGCGATTAAAAATGCGATTAATTGCGATTAATTAATTACAAAGCCTGTAATTAATTAGATTAATTTTTTTAATCGAGTCCCGGCCCTAATAATTATCAAACCAGATCAGATCATATTTAACTGACAAGTTTTATAACCAGTAGCATTTGCAATGCAGGTTGGGTTAATTCTGCACATTAAAGGAGTTGTTTTTATATTCTGGTAACACCAAATGCTTTTCTGCGAGTGTCACATTCTGTACCTGGTGGAGAGGGGACGATGATGAGCTGGCCCCTCCCCCAGATGTAGAGTTGGGTGGAGATGCGACCCTTTGGGGAGACCCGCCCCCTCCCGCTGTTGTCACAGCAACTGTAGTGCTGGAAGACAAATGTGCAAAGCAGCATAATTTGCATGAACAATAATGACTTAAAATGATTCATTCCATTTCACACAACAGTTATATGTTTGTATGTAAGTATTTTATATGTACTGTTTGCTAAAAAACAGTCCAAAGATAATGTATTCTCCTTAATGTTTTGGTCTGAAAAACCTATACATTAGACTGATGTGTTAAATACAGCAATCGCCTTAAAACACCTTTATAATCAATGTCACGGTCACTGTGGATCTGTACCTGTATGACTTTGCCAGGCGAGTACCAGGAGACGGTTTGCTGGGGGAGGAGGAGGAGGGCAGGCGTTGAGTGGTAGAGTACCCCGGGGTTTCAGAGGAGGATCCCAGGCGTTGGAGTTTACCTGGGGAACCGGAGCCTCCTCCTGCAGACAGAGGGGAGCTGACACGCTGGGTGGGTAAGGTGGAGCTGGAGTAATAGATACCTGAATAGCAGAGAAAGGAAATATTCAGTGAAAAGCAGAAGAATGAGTAAAAACGTTGTTAGGCAGACATCAGTGATTCTTAGTATATCCTTGAAATGATATCACCTAGTAACTGGGAGACATAGTCTGCCCAATCCAAACCTGTTGCTTTGTTATTGAACTTGGAGCTATTCATTGATTTTCTAATAAAAAAACACCATGTTCGAGCCTATGGTGATTTATAAGTGTGCTTAGTACCAGAACACCTTAGATCAAAGAGCAGTGGGGGACTTTGTAGTCATACAAACATACTCAGCATTCTGCTAGTGGCACATCTTTGTCATTTCATTGGCCTGTATGTCTGTCAGTATCTCAACATGCCATGTCTGTGTATCCACGATGTTGTTGCAATGTCAGATTCATTTATTGTAAAGAAAATGCATCTCCATGGACAAAGACTGAGATGAACGGTGAAGAGAAGGAGAGGTGAATTCTTACCTGACCCTGCCCCGCTCTGTGATTGTTGATGCTGGGCTGCACGACTAGATGTCACCTGAGGGGATGTGGGGGAACAGAGAGCAAGTGAGGGAAGAGGAGCCATGACAGGGAAGAAGGGATGAATAGAGGGAGGAGGGAGAAGTTGAAATGGCGGAGAGACAGAGTTAGAAACATTAGATAAAAAGAATAAAGAGTAGTGGCCATCGAAAACTTGAATGCACAATGAGTACAGTGAAGCCTTTGATGAGCACTGAATGAACCTAGAGCAGCTGGTAATGAAATCCCCACAGAAAAGAGGGCGATTCAAACAGACTCAGAGAAGCCCTAGGAGTTTGGCTGGCTGAAATAATTTCTCATAAAGCCTTGTTGCACCACCTACTCAAAGTTAAGGGAATGATTACACGGTCAATTGTCTACTCTACTCCATAGTGTATTCACGTCTCAATATCCTTTAACTGCCATCTGTAAACTTCAATATTCGGATATACTATATTATGGAAAAAGCCAAAAGAGGAAGACAAAGCCATGTTAAATCAAATACAAAATCCAATCATGCTTTGACTACAATGTGCAATTAATTTCTAAAACAGACAAAAGACATGATTCAGTGTGAGGCAAAGCTTGAGGTTGAGAGGTCTCTCTACCACACATCACATTATGGTCGATCATAATATATTCTACCAAATCTCCAGAGACAATGTTTTAAAGCATAATGCTGGTGCTCCACTGAGCCGCATATAGCTTTAAAGGGGATTCAAACATATTACTACTGGACTGACATGGCTGCAGTTGTACAAGGCCACATTATGCACACGCTGTCTGAGTCACCTTGAAGCACCGTCATCACTGCATATACAGAAGTTAATCTACGACAGTCAGAGAAATTGAAGTACTAAAACCTTAAAAGATACACACAATTTGATTTGCTGACATATCAGGAGAGGCTGTCACAAAAAAATATCAATCTCAACTTCTTGAGTGTTTGACATTATAATACCTGTAAATTGGAATTAAATGGACGGACACAAACATTTGAACACATTTAAACAGTTATACAAGCACACAATTCAAAATATAAATGACAACAAACATATGATCATCCAATAAACGGGTGTCACAGAACATGCCAATACACACACACAATACAAATCCGGTGTTATGGTAAAAAGCTGCATTTGAACATAACACTTTCCAGGTGTGAAAACTGGCAGCTTGACTATAGTGCAGACAAAATGAATAAGCATGTCTGCTACACCTTCCCTGGATAAATACAGCAACACACACAGACACACCATCTCCCATTCGGTTCTGAATGGCAGTTCCTGGTTATATTTCCATGCTTTGTGATGAGCCAAAGCATGTCGGGCGAAGACAACAAGCCTTTGGTTGCAGCACTGCTTTGTTTGCAGAGGGGTCATGAAAACTGATTTATCTCTGGCTGAGAGGATTAGCAGTCTCTTTCAAAAAATCTGACACACAGTTTATGGAGGCACACAGACAGAGTAGCATACACAGGCAGACACAGATAAGGAGTGAAGGAATGGGAAATTGGTGAAATGACAAATAGGTAAGAAATGTCGGATGTACGGTAGCTTCTATATTTCGTCTTACAAATTCCTGACTCAGTAACATGCTGATATTGTTTGTGTCTGTCTATAATAATAATAATAATAATAATGGATTACATTTTTTTATTTAGAGCACTTTTATAGGTGCTCGAAGCGCTTTACAATTACATATTACACATATTAGACATGTAAATGTCCTTACTGTGGACATTACCCACGGGTAGAGTGTCTTGCCCAAGGATACAACGGCCTGACGCAGTGGCGGCCGAAGCGGGTTTCTAACTGGAGTTCACCAACGCCCGTTGAGCTGATGATCAACGCTCTAACCACTGCGCCAAAATCTCCCCGGTTATAAGAACTGCTTATGAAAGTTTAAAGAATAGGATTCAACCTTGAGTTACTGATCCACCCTGATCTCAACACACAGGAAGTAAATCCTGATTGAAGCTGTAACTTCTCCCGCTTCACAAAGGGTGGGCTGTAGTTTTACTCTTAAACTAACCCTGGATGGTAAATAAACTGGCAGAATTTTTGAAAATGTCAAAATATGTGGTCATGCACTCGGATATCCAATAATTAATAACCTCAGTCTTTCCAGTACTATGTGTTCCAGCTCTGCGTGTCACATTTTGGATGTGAAGAAAATCGAATGAGCTGTAACGAGGCAGAGATGTTCACAGTGTCCTTCGTTGTTAGTAAGCTATTATTCCCTGTGTGTACACTCTTTCAGCTGCCCCTTTAAACAAAGTTAAGAAAACAATGCCTTTAGGTCCTAGCCATTTATCAAACAATGCTTTCATCTCCCTGCTATACAGCAACAGATTGCAGCTTACATAATTTTCCATCAGTAAATCCAGCCGTATGCCATATTTGCAGCTTTTCGTCAACTAGTCATCCCACCAACATTTCTCCAGAAACTCCATAAACTACTTCTTATCTTTCTTGTACATACAGGAAAACCTGGTCTTACCAATAGTTACTCCATATTCGTTAACGACTTCACTCGTGCTGCTGTCATAGCATTAATAAATGCAGATGCCAAAAATAGCACTTATTGTGTTTTTTAGAGTGCATATGGAAAAAGGTTTATAAGAGAGTAGATTATAAAAAGTGTCTATAAACAGCCAGAGAGAGAGATCTTAATCAGGATGTGAGACACTATCAGGAACAGTGTGCGCCATAAAGATCTCCTTCATAAGTCCCCTGTGTTAGTTTAGTAGGTTATGAAGCCAAGTGAGAGATGTAAGGCTGATGAGACGCAGGACACATGACTTTAACTTTAAGAACCTAATTAATGTCTTTATTTCCTGATTGTGTTCAACACTGCAGATGTGCTCCAGTCATCAAGATGCAAAGTGAGACAGAAATGGACCTTCAGACTGATGACAAGGTGAGTGGGTGAATGAATAAACAGATGGATGGGTGATTCAGCGGGTAAATAAAAGATGAGCATAGATGAATTGTTGGCAGACTTAACTAATAAATAGAAAGCCTGACACTATGTGAGGAAGAACACTTTCTCCATCCCAGCCTGTCATGTTGCAGTGCTGCTTCTTTTCTCCTCCAGTAAAACACTGGGATGTTTGAGGTGCCATGTAGCCATGCATTATTAAAGCTGGACCTCTCAGGGTTATAAATACCCCACAGAACAGCAGCAACATACCAGACCTTTCACTTTCTCTCTCACTCTCCATGAAACAGTCACCTGGGCTAACTTTTGAACAACCATTGAGTGAATGAAAATAAAAACATGCAAGCAAGCAAGCTGCACCTGCCTTTATAACAGCACTGGCTTGCGTAAAGCTATTCTGTGAAAAAGCCCTGCTGACAACACTGGTCCCGTTATACACTGACAAGCCCAAAACATCAGAGACACACACACACACACACACACACACACACACACACACACACACACACACACACACACACACACACACATACAGGAGAATAAATATTATGGAACAAAGAACACAGACAGAATAAATACTCTTTTTCTCTCATCAGCCCATCCATGCTTGTCATTCTGTTTTTCTATCTTTTGACCTCACGTATTTCTCACTTTTTCAGGGAAGGAATGGGAGCTGCCTCTGAAACCAGTTCTGAAATGAGCTTAAGCCAGACTGTGGAGGGGGTTGAATGAATGCGTTTCACAAATACAGATATCATCCAATTCACCTTTCTCTTTCATAAAAATATTTCCATAAGCAGACACTTGCCGTACACACAGATTTGCACATATACACAAACATCCAATGAGAAAGTAAAAAAACGAAAAATAAACGTAAACCCATATCATGGAGACTGTACTGAAAACATGCAGTTTCTTGCTAAGACACATTAAAGATATTGTTATTGGGGTTAAGCGTTTTTGTGTGTGGGTGGTTGTTTGAAAATATACATATGTGTGTGTGTGTGTGTGTGTGTGTGTGTGTGTGTGTGTGTGTGTGTGTGTGTGTGTGTGTGTGTGTGTGTGTGTGTGTGAGTGTGTGTGTGTGTGTGTGTGTGTGTGTGTGTGTGTGTGTGTGTGTGTGTGTGTGTGTGTGTGTGTGTGTGTGTGTATAAGAATGCAGCACGTGCATTACCAGTGATATGTTAAGGACATGAACAATTGGAAATAATTGGCTCCTGTAGTCTGTAAAGTAATTAGATGTGTGTTTCTCTCCCCATCAGTTCACTGCTGTGATTAATATGTGACTTTGTTTCAGCTTTAAGTCCTTATACATAAGACACTTGCTGAGATTCCTCTATGTGCATTTAATCATCTCCTAATTTGGTCTATGAGCATCTGATTACCTGTCTCTCTCTAAACAGCTTTACATAATTTGTCTAACCCTGTCTCATGATCTCCTCCCAAATACAGACGAATATGCCATGAGTTGCTTTTAAAGCCACTCATAGTGACTCAACCACTTCGCTAACACTCAAAAAACTTGATTCTGCATAAATATGTGATACACTAATCAACTGTGATGTCAAACAAATCCACATTTGGCGAGAGCACCGAGATGTAGCTGCAGAAGCACCATGCAAGAGGAAAAAGAAGGGGGATGTTCGCTCTGGCTCTAAAGGAATAACAGAGCAAGGAATCTGAAAATCTGCATATACAGTAAACAGTGTATCTCAACAGTAAAAGGAGTTCAAAGCTGCTGTACTTAAAAACTCAATGTACTGCATAACTTTTCTTCACAACAGACAGTTAAGTTTACACACATGGCCAGTCGTAGAATTTCCTCTCTCTGTCATCATCTCCACACATCCTCGTTATCGTCAGTGAGCAGCAGGGTTTCCTACCTGGTTGTAGCTGTGCACGGCTCCTCCAACATGCCCGCTGCGCTGAGGAGTTGCTGCGGAGATGCTGTCGCTATGGGCGAGGGTCTGGTTGCTATGGTAGCTGGCAGAGTACTGGAGCGAAGCCTCCGGGGTGGAGTTGAGCTGCAAGGAACTCTGGGAAAGAAGAGCTGGTCCTACCGACAGGAATGGTGTATGGTTGGGTAGGTGGTGGGGGTTGAGTTTGTGTGTATGGTGTGTGTTCATATATAGAGAGAGTGAGAGAGTTGGTAGAGCCAGATTAAGAGTGAGTAAGAGAGGGGGCGGCAAGGGGAGAGATTGAGAGGCGAAGAGTGAAATGGGGGAGAGAGAGAGCAGCAATTTAGAAGAGATAGTGCAGCAGTGCAGCACTCCGTGAGTTGGAGATGGCATACATAATTTATTAGCAGAGGGAAGAGAAACAGAGGAACAGAGAGAATGGGAGGAGGAGGAGGAGAAGCAGGGAGATGGAGAGGATGGGAGGAGGAGGAAGGCTAAAAAGAAAAAAGTTGTAATAGATGGAGCACCTTTAACTTGATGTGTTGCCTCCCCAAACGTGTTCACTTTTGCCTTTTATTCGACTTGAGCAAAACTTCACCAATTGCGTGAGGAAGTTCTGGTTTTGAATGAATAACTTCAAATAGTTTTATCCTATTCAATATGGCTTCTCATACCTGATCGGCTGGAGTACAGCCAAAGCACCTGCCATACATTNATATTTACATTTAAATAAATATCAAAATAATATATACCAATAAACAAGATCAACAAATATTTTGGAGCGCACTTCCACAAGATACTAAACATATATAAATATGATAAATACAAATAAATTAGATCAAATATGTTCACAACCTAGCAAAGCAAAATAATTGTTTTTTTTCGATTATGTTGTTTTCGTAATTGTGGCAGGCCAAAATTGTAATTGCGATTAAAATACGATTAATTGCACAGCCCTCTTAGGCTGTTCAATAAAAGAGTTTTAGGATATTCTTCTTTAAAATACTATCTTTGACTTGCCTGCTTTGTTGAGCAGTTATGATCCTAAACTGCAACAAAAACCACAGAATAGCTTCACGCACTGAGATGCTCAGTCCCTCGCATGCATCGATTTCTGATATGATCTGAAGGGTTGTAGGGTTTTGACTTTGTTAAGTTGACAGTGGATTCACGCTGAGGTCTGAATCCCAGTATTGAAGCACAGCGCTCTGAAAAATGCTCTGCACGCCACTTGCCAGGGATTGAGAGCTAATGCGATAAGACATGAACTCCACTGGACCATCTCTTCTACTCTCAGTCACTCATTACTGTGCATATATGGCTTTGTATATATGAGTATGTCAACGTCTTTTAATTCCATCTCCTGACGTGCCAAGCCCTGCTTACTTTTCTTCCCAGTCTTCTGCTTTTCTACTCCTTCCTAACTGTATTTTAGCTCTGTGTTTTCAGAGGGAGGCTTTACATTTGTTCTGCTGTGTAATGAACAAATGCCTGCTGTCAACGTCTTCTTTGCCCCGTGTCTTTGGGATTCCTGCCAAACACAGAACAAGAGGGGGGACACTACAACTCATTATTTTATAGCTGACGACCAGCAATGTGTTCTGCGGAGATTTAAAAAATGAATTACAGAGGCATCCCTCTCTCTGACTCTCTTCTTTGCCTATTTGTCATGTGCTCTTATGTAATCTTTCTTTATTATTCTGTCATTCCTTCTCTACTTAGTTTCTCACTCTGGTGCCTTTCTAACAACTTGCCCCACACACCCTTATCTGTCTACCATATAAATCAGCAAAGAGATATGTACAGGGGGAAAATGGACATGTCAGAAATCCGAGTCACATAGTTTTACTTTTTGAGTCAAGTGAAATGAAAACAGCAACACATCTTGCTTCCCTTTGTTTATTTCCTTTATTGTCCTGACCTCCTGGACATCCATCAGCTCAACTCCTCTATTCTGCCTTTCCTTCTCTCCCATACTGATACCTCCTCCCTCTTTCATCCTCTCCTCATCTGACCTTCATCTTTGTTCTCCCTCTTCCTTTTCTCCAGGCTCTCGAGGATCCTACAGTAGTCAGCACAGTCAGGAGCCCCTTCGGCCCCTGGGGTCCCCGGAGCACCATATAGATCCCATCTATGAAGAGCGTGTCTACCACAACAAGGGCCCTATGAGGAGCCTTAGCCAGGGCCAGGGGCCGGACGCAGGCCCCTACCGCAACAACACCGGTAAGACCTTCCCTGCAAATGTAAACTTCATTATGAACATTGCATAACGTTGTATAGGTGACACACACAGCCTTCTCCTCATGTTAGTTGGTTTTCACTTACTCAATGTAAAGAATGCACGATACACTGTAAATGCAACAATGACTTGAATGTTACAGCCTTTTCCTGTATGGCTAATGCTCATACTTCATGCTGTGAGGTACACAAACAACCCAGGTGGAGAAAAACATATTGGATGTAAAAAAAAATAAGAAGGCATTTAAAAAAGGCCATCAACACTTTTGTTCTTTTATTTTAATCCAGTTAAGAAAGAAGCACGGTTGGGCACATTTTCTATCAAAGTCACACAGTCAGACACACGTATTCTTACCCACTCCCTCCGTAACTCCATTGTTGCCAGCAATGTATTTTTAATAGGGCCTCATTGAGCTTATCACAATGTGGGTTTAGGTACGCCATGTTAATCCCATTACCGTATCTTACCCACATGAAAACACCCAAGTCGGTCACGGCACGTTCACAGCTCCCTGGATGTCATTAACCACCCTGCTCTTAATAGCTATCATTAGCATTTGGGTTAGAATCGTAGCATTAAATACGCTGCTTTAGACCAGCGTCTGAGTTGATCAGTTCGACTCACTTGAAAGCAGCTGGAGTTTGCATTTAAGCACTGAGTGTAGCCTTTGAAGCACACTTCAGAGTTAGAGGGGTCATTGGTTGGATTTTTATTCGTGTGGGATATTGCTTTGATTACGGTTGGTTCCTGAACAGTGCATACAAATAGAATTGTCGTTGCAAGCAGGAAGTAATCAAACAAGTGCTCTTCAGAAGTGTACAGAGAGGATCCACTGTTATCTATAATTTACTGTGCCTTGTATTTGTAGTTTAAAAATGGGTATAAGAAGCCTCACAAAGGAAGTTTGCTCTGCAGCTACAAAAATCAATAGACTGTGGATTAGACCGTGTTCATTTAATTGCTACGTCTGAGGTTTACAATACGCTTCTACTCAGTACAGTATTTTAATAGATTGTCTGATATTCGTAGTGCTACACCCTCCGTCAGAGTATTGAAGCCTGAGCCTTTTTTCACCTCATTATTTCACCCTATTGTGCTTAGTCCATGTAACTACAGCGGTAAATCAACACACCGAAATGAACCCCGCCCTGAAGTCACTGGACCGTTGAATCGAAGCTTGGCCTTAGCGCAGCATGTTTTAAAAGTCATGTTAATAGTCAGTGCAGTGACTAGGCGGTTGTCTAATAAGGATTCATAATGCAGAGAGTGATAGCACATAGTGAACTGATAAGGGCTGTGCTGACATAGTAAGCGGTAAGTCATTAATTTTGTCACAGCGCCTTTTCTTGGCAATGGCAGGCTCCCATTATTGGTTCATTAAGCTGGCATGGATCAACGTAATGAATGCTATAAGCAGGGGTGCACATAAGTGGTACGCAGGTACGCATGCGCGGCAACAATCTGAAATGCGTACCGTCACTTGTGTCACAAAGCGCATTTGCGTACCGATGTATATGTGAAGCGGTTGGATCACCGGACGACGGAGGTCTCCGTGTGCTGCTGTTAACGTCGGCCTGTACAGCAGCACTGCGCTAAAACAGCTGATCACAACGTTCACACGCTCTGTGGTCACGAAGCTCTGCACTCTACTACT